TCAAGTTATTAAAAAAACGTCGGGAAGAGTGAAGAGTAATAAGCTCCAACGTAATGTACAAAAATGCACTCTAAATAAGTGCAGTTGCAAACGCGAAAGACAAAAACCGGGAGATGAGAGTGTGCGACAATTGCCATGCCTTGCATGCGCAATGCGCAAGGGACCGATTTTTGGTGCGTTCTGAACCCAGTAAAATAAAAATCGTTGCAAATCTCATAAATATTTACGGAAATTCCCAGAGATGTACCGAATTGTTCTACTAAAATTTTCCGCTTTATTGACGAAAATCGCAATAGGAATACATTTTCACTGTCAAAGAATAATGGCGCCTACTCATAGCAAAGTTTTGGTAAGTTCACATAGGTGAGCACTTTGACGCTTCATTCGGTGTTTTCGTGCTTCAATACAGTCACTTGATGCATCCCGATCATGCTGGAGGTTGTAACAGTACTTCAAACAGTGGGAACATTTGGTGATGAATAACGTTGTATAGCATTGAAACAGGAGCTCGATAAGCACTTCATTAAAGAGACTTTTTATCGCCACCTCCATCAAGCAGACCTGAAATGGTTAATGAATAAAGTCTCTCAAGTGTTTTCTTGCATGCTCCGTTAAGTTTGCGAAACAGGAACATTCACAGATAGATGAGAATTTCCTCACATTGGTAGCCCTTGCCGCAGGGGAAGATACATCATCACGTTAGGTACATCACCCTGGGCGCGTATGGATTAAGCCCTTCGATTCTGCTGCGGTTCGTTCACAGGTGATGTGGGCAACAAAAAAGTCTATGCGACGTAATCTATTACCTTTATAAAGAATTATAGGACATTAAACCAAAGTACCGTAACAGCTCCTCTCTGTGATACATTACAATGGCACCAGTTCCAAAGTGGCTCGACTTTCCACACTGGGAAAAGCGAAAGAAGCCTAATAGGAAAGAACTGAAACTTTGAAGACAAGTAGAGCACTGAAATCCCTCATTAACAACCCGTTGCTCATTCTACCTATGCAATGGCCAGTAAGACAGATTAGACAAGTCGAATTGGTTTTTACTGGTAAGCTAGTAATTTTCACCAGTGCGATACTTCTCCCCAATTAATACAACGCAACTATACTGCTCGACCACTCAAGCTAAAAGTCCGTTATTGGTGTGGGAGGCGAGTACTCACGAGGCGCGCTCAGAGTCGGCCTTTACGAGGACGTAGAGAGCGGCAAGGATGGCGGAGGCCGTGTGAAGGCTGACGACGTTACGAGTGGGCACGACGATCTCTCCGTCGATAGTGCTGGGTGCCTGTAGCACCGGCAGTCGAGCGATCAAGAGACGCATCGCATAAAACGCCACCAAACCCCGCAGGCTCTCTTCTTCCGCCACATTTCGCAGCGCCGTTGCAGTCGTCAAAACAACACTGTCGTCCTCTGAAATCAACGGGGCCGCCAGAACTAGCACGTTGTCGCCGCTCCGAAACTTTACAAGGGACGTAGAGAAAAAGTCAAGTTGTCTTTAAATAAACTTCCTCAAATAAAAGAAACACAAAATTCGCAAAAAAGCCTGTACAAAGTTGAAGCTCTTACGAATGAGCGAACTTCAGCGCTGGGTTCCCAGTCGCAAGCTGTGAGGTTTTGTATGGCGCCGGCAGTCGCCTCCAAAGTAACAAGATTTGTTGAATGGCGAAGGATGGAAATATAGTTTTCAATTAGGTCTTGAGTCCAAAGCAGCCGACTACCCTGAATCGACTGCAAGTTTGACGGTGGCCTGTCTAGATAATCTGGTCCCCCGCCCATCCATTTATTAGTCGTTGACGTCCTCTTTAAATCTAAGAATTCAGAAAAGTGCAAAACTACCTTCACCATCGTTTAAAGCTTTTTTTCACGCTTCAAAATCGAAATACTAAATAAATATAGGTTAATATTACCCCAGCTACGGTGGGAATTACTGTCACAGAAGATAGTTTAAGTTAATAAATTGTTTAATTTTATGCTTCAGGGAATAATATAAATAATCACAGTCGTTAACAAACGTACTCATCACGATCCCACGTCGACGTATTTTCAGGTCTATATGCGGATGCTTAAACACTAGTCTCTTCTCCGACATAGGAGTTATGGCCGCAACGGAATAGGCCTCCTCCCGACGCACGAGATATGCGGGATCGCGTACCTCCTGCAGGGCGAAACTCAGATTTCGCAAAATGCATACACAATTCTCCAAAGCTTTCCCGTCAAAATCGTAATTTTCGACACATTGAGAGCAGACGTAACTTAGGGCAGCCACTAAACCCACGGTTTCCCGAAGGCGACGACGGCATTCTGCATCTTCGACAAGAACATTTCTGTGGGAATTAATTTAAATGAAACGCTGTACAGAGCATAATATTTAAATAAGGAAATTGGTTACCATAGCATTCATGCACTAGTCATGAAAGCAAGAATTTTTTCTGCGTCCAGCTTTGGAAACGATAGCAATACTATAATTTATGAAACCCACGCAAATTAAAATAAAACACTAATG